GGAAAGGAAAAATTATGAAAAAGGAAAAAAAATGGAAACAAAGTCTATGTAAATAGGGAAAGGTGGAGGGGGTGAAGGTCGCACAGGTAATGGGGAGAAAAATAAGAACCAAGATACATCATGTACGGGTACAAACAAGCACCCAATGATAAATGTAAATGTATTATTTACCTAAAATGTACCAATAAAATAATTTAAGGAAAAATATGGATTCAACAGCTGCTAGATGACTCAGAGTAATCTAAGTAATTGGAGTTAGTAAAAAAATCAGAAGATGCCATAAAGCATTTAAAAAACCTGTTTATATAAGTAATAGCTGAAAACTTTCCAGATGTGGAAAAAGAATTTAACACACAGATAAGTGAGTCATTATGAACACAGAATAGCCATGATCAAAAAAAAGTGACTATACCTCATCAGAATTAAAATGACACAAATCCAACAAAACAGAATCTTAAAAGCTGTTCGAGAAAAACCAATGAATCACCTAGAAATGAAAATGCATCACAGTTACAGCAGACTTCTCAACACAAACTTTAAGGTAAGGAGAGTTTGAAATGAAATCTTTCAAGCCATAAACAAAAACAATTTCCAACCCAGACTAATATATCCTACAAAACTGTCTTTCACAATTGATGGAGAAATAAGATATTTCCATAATAAAGAACATCTAAAGGAATTCATGACCACCAAATTAACAGTCCAAAGAATTCCCAAGGATATCCTAGAAAGAAGCAATGAACCTAAAATGCCAAAATGTTCAAGAGAATGAATGCACCAGGTAAGGCTACCAATTAAGTAGAAGGGAAAGAAAGGAACAGGAAAATAATACAATGACAGGAACAAGTCAATACTTCTCAGTTATAACTATCAATGTGAATGTTCTCAATTCACCAATCAAAAGACAGAATCAAATTATAAAAAATGCTGGTAAGGATGTGAGGAGAAAGGAACTCTTCTACATTGTGGGTGGGAATATTAACTAGTACAACCACTATGGAAATCAGTGTGGAGATTTCTCAAAAATCTAAAACCAGAAATTCCACTTGACACAGATATTCCCCTTGTAGGGATCTTCCCAAAAGAGTTAGTCATCGTATTACAGGGATACATGCATACCCATGTTTATAGCAGCACAATTTATAATAGCTATAGCTTGGAAAGGGTGTATAGATCTATCAACAGATGAATGAATAAAGAAAATGTGGTATTTTTACAAACAGAATACTACTGTGCATAAAGAGAGATAAACTTGAGGCATTCGTAGCCAAATGAATGCAACTTGAGAACATAATGGTAAATAAAATGTCAGACACACAAGCTTAATTATCACATGATTTCTCTTTTAAGAGAATATATATATATAAAAAGGAAGAAGAAAAGGCAAGAGATGACCCCCAAAACTCCGACTCCCCCAAAGCTGATATAGGGGGCACGGAGGGAGAGG